CATTAATATTTAAGCTTTCTTTTTAAAAGTTCAACGATAATTCTTCTACTGTCACTTAATTTAAAGACAATTTGATGTACGTAGATCCTTACTTTCCGAACAAACAATTATTTTTACTTCATAAGTGACTTTCGCAATTAATTTCAGTTATTCCCAAATTTATTTCCAAGTTATAAAAATTGTTATCGTACACATAATTATAGAAATGCTGAATCCCTTGACAAACATCGGAAGTTAGTTTGGCTGAGAACTTTTCATGGCCCCACGTTTAGTGTGTGTGTGTGTGTGTGTGCATTTATACAAAGACCGTAAATAAGGATCATCTATATCATAAATGCGAATGTCACTGTCACACTTTTCCAACTTCACTCCTTGAGACCGTAGCTAAATATATCACACCATTTTGGACATCAGGCCGACTCCGTGAGCAAATTAAAAACATTCCGAGCTGGATCCAGATCCGCAATCATGGAATTTGGGATTCCCAAGTTTTCATTATTGCGATTGTTTCCGGCGATTTTTTTTACGTGATTTTTTTGCGACGAATAAAAAAAAAAGAAAAAAAAAAAGAAAAAGGAAAAATTAAAATCATCCTTGATAATGGCTAAAAGTATAGCTCAAAGCGCTCGGAATTATAGAACATTTGAATAGTTTCTACACACTCTGTGTCCAAAAAAGAAAACACTTGTTCGAACACAAGAACAATTAAATAAAAAGCTTAATCGTAATACCTTGTCTGTCGTTTTTAATGAAACACACACACACATATATATATATATATATATATATATATATATGCAATTTACCCACAAATTCATATACTTATAAATGTATCAACACATTTTCCAGCTTTTTATTGTATCAAAAGCAATTGGTACATTCTTATAACTGCATCTATTTGTCCCCTATCAGAATACAGTCACACAGAAAGAAGTATTGACAAGTCAATCTGATATTTTCCAGCTCTTTCTCTATACTTACCTTCTCTCCTCAAAAAATATGTTTAAACGTTACTCTTACACAACCGTTGGACTGTAGCAACAAATTAGAGATTCAGAAAAATAAAAAACCAAAAACTGTCCGCCATTATCTGTATTTATACTTTTTTTTGTATATGACTTGATCAAGGTTATGTATAGCCATTAAGACATTCAAACAAAATTGATTGATCACACCAAAATACAAACAGGTTTTAATAAGCACACGTCTATTGGGTCACCATTATGGTGGGGTAGATGCCTAGATTCCTTACAAATGTCAGCTTTCAGTACTTTCAAAAGCAAACCTTCACTTGTAAGAGAAGTGAAACAATTTTCCTCATGCCATACTAAGCTTTAAACAAAGGATCAGTCAGTAAATATTTTCAGGGGATTAGAGTGCTCAATTATTGTAGCCTTGTGTCAAACTAAGCTTAGTAAATATCTAAGGGCATCTGTCAGAGTGATGGTTAGCAAGCTACTGCTAATGAGTGTTCCAACTTACTGCATCTTTGTACCACACACACACACAATAAGCATTTTAAAATAAAAATTGTAATTAATCAACTATAATTAATGGCACTGATTACTATTAATCACTATTCAAAATAAGTGCTGCCTAATTAATAGTTTTAATTTGCATAATAATTTCTGTTAGTTTGCATATCACAAATGTTGAAACTAAAAGAATGACACTCCCCAGTTGGCAGTAAGTACACCTGTGTACTTGTAAAATCTGCCACAACCACACAAATCAACATCTACTCCACTTGTTTATTCCCTCCAATAATCACTTGGCTAAATTGCTGTCTTTTAATTTTCATTCTTTTTACTGTCTTTGTTAATTTTTATTAAATATCAATATATTAATTTTCAATTAATAAAAAAATATAAAAAATCCTACAAATAATTTGTCTTTTTTTATTTGCCCAATTTTGCTTGTCCTGTTGGAAGAGAATTGATCCTCACAAAAGACGAGGGACAGGTCGTCTCCTTTCGAACAATACATTTAATTTCGTAAGAGAAATGTTTTTCTTCAAATTTTCTGTTCTTACTTGATCAATCACACACCGTCTCATACATAATCAATGATGAAGAATGATGTTTCTTGAATTGTGTACCGTCTCATACATAATCAATGAAGAATGATGTTTCTTGAATTGTGTAAACTTCTGTTGAAAATAAAATTTTCATCAATGTAAACCATTGGCAATTTTCACTAAGGAAGATCATGTGTAAACATCTTTTGCTTTTAAAACCAGAAACAGTCATATTTTTTTTTCATTGGAAAATAAATAATTTTTTTTGTTTTTATTTTCAAATGAATAAATGTAATAAATTACATGCAGAGACAAGTGTTAACCACACTGTCATCAGTGTTAATATAGCCAGACTTAAAAAAAAAAAAAAAAAAAAAAAATTTTACCCCCACTTCTACAGTGGCTTATATGATTATATAAGGTAACTTCATGCATAGTGCAACCCCTGAATTTTAACCCCCTCCAGAATAAACTTACCTGTGAATAATGCAAAAAATGTATGATTTTTAATCTCTTCAAAAAAAAAAAAAAAAAAAAAAAAAAAAAGAGAGAGATTATAATGTACACAGTCTTCTGCAGTGAAAATAGCTGTGATACCTATAACAAAAAACTATCCAGAAAACTTTTTTTTTTTTTTAGTAGTGCAGCTTGCCTTGTGATGAGTCATAGATCATACAGCCCACTATTCAAAAAATGTTGCCTGTTCAATGGACAATAAAAAAACATTTTGGCTTTTTGTATCATCTAAAAAAATGAAGTATGTATTGACCATTATTAATTAGAACTTAGAAAGAGCACTGGATAAGTGATTTGGCTGGATTACTGATGGCCATATTATTCGCTTTGCTGCTTCTTAAATTGTAGATGAGCCAATGCTGTTAAATCATATGAATCATTTTTTTTTTTCTTTATAACTTCTACCTTGTCTGTTATTGAGAACATATCACACAAAACAATTCCTGTAATCATTGGATCCATGATTGGGACTAAACATTAGTAAGACTATAATATAAATGCACAAGTCAAACTGCTTTACTAGTGTCTGAAAGTGATCAAAAACACCCAATGCAGCTGTTGCAGCATCTCAAGAAATCTGAAAGTTTTCTCATGGAAATCAGTACCAGATTACTAGATTGGTGACAACCAACGATATATATAACTTTAACAAAAACATACCAGTTGAACAGTATTGTGTCACACACTACCCACAGTCACCGGACAAGTCAGTCCCTATGGCCAGCCTTGGAGTTGGTTGCCCTGTACCTCAATCCCACTCTGCCTGCCCACGATGTGTTTGTTTTAGATCATAAGGCAGGTGAAAGCAGAGTCGTATACCCAACGTCACTAATCCGGCAGCTTTGATGAGATGATGCCACGGGGAACAAAATAAGAGATGGTGGTGTCATACAATAACTTTATATCAAAAGGTTCATACAATGAACGTTCTATTCACCAAATTAACAACATGCAGATTTTCAGCACCTTCCCTCTTAATACCCTCATGGCACTATGTTTAGCCATGCTCAGTAAACTGGTACAAGGTTGAAGTCCGATTTCTTCTGCTCGGTGATTTCTTTGGGCCAACTATTCAGTTGTAATTGGTAGCCTGGAACAGGGCTGAAGTTCAAGTTCTTTCTGTAGAAGTCGTGTGGTGTTTAGCAAAGCAGGTCTTGAACCAACTGGCAACGCATCTCTCTCACAAACAGCAGCTTTGTCTGGTTCCTCCCTCTCTGTTTCTTGCTTCATTCATCTGTATTTTATGGACCCTCATGCAAACCTGGCACAGGGCATGAGATGATTAGGGGTTCCTGGGGGAAACCCCAACATCTATACAGAGACTTTCATTGTGTGATCTTGGGAAACTGATTCGCCCAACTCCTTCCATCTTGTGTGGGTCCCTCTCACCATCACTGCCCAAAGGGTGCAGGCAATTCCTCTGCCTTCCTTGACATTCTACCTCTCTCCCAATGAAACCTGTTCCAGAGGCTAGGCATGTTCTAGCCCAAATTGCTCAATTCAATTATCATCCAAAATTTCCATAAGCGAGGAATTCTTATTGCATCCTTGTTGACTGGTTACATGTGTGACCCGCCATCTGTTGCCAGCTCTTTGGTCAACAATTCCTTTGTTATAATAAATTTTATCACATCTTAGACGAACGAATAAAAAAAAAAAAAAAAAAAAAAAAATATAAATATATGTGTATATATATATATATATATATATATATATATATAAAAAAACCACAATTTCATTTCAGTCTTTCCATTGGAAACGGGTTGGTCTTAAGATACAAGTCTATATCAACTGACCAAATTTCGGATAGAAATTTTAGTTGTCATGGGTGGCACCCTTCGTTCAATAAGTGACCTATTGACGCATTCTTCTCTTGTTGGCACTTGAAGTCATTAAGATGTAATCTCTTCTTCCATGCGGGGTTGAGTGAACACTTAAGAAAATACAATTGCTTAAGACTAAGTTGACCAAAAACGGCATTTGAACCCTGAAGTGAGGAGAGAAAAGAAAACAAATATCCTTTCCTTTAATTCAGTCTATTGAAAACAAGTGTTTTTTCTTTCTCGTTTCCCCAGTTTATTTTGAAAGCCTTTTCCCCCCAATTTACCATCACCTTAATAGTGTCACAACAGAATGAAAATTTTTTTTCAACAGTGTAGAGGAAAGAATGGAGACAACATGATGAAGGAATATATTGGCCAAAATATTTAAAAGAAAACAATATGGGAGAGTGAAAGAGAAAAAAAAAAAAAAAAAAAAAAAAAAAAAAAAAAAAAAGTTTTATTTTTCCAATAACATTTTATTACCTAATAAGGTGCAAGCCTATTCTTTTAGTTTTACAAAAAACAGGAAAGGCCAAAAACGGAACAAGACAGAGAAGACAGCCTCACAAACCACCAAGTCTTCATTGCCCATCTGAAGCCTTCAATTGACAAATCCACTATGGATGTGAGGGTGGCAGCTTGCATTACCTGAGTATCCTTTAAAAAAAAAAAAAAAAAAAAAAAAAAAAAAAGAGAGAGAAACCCAGAAAAGTCATCATTAGAAAACAACCAGCAATAATTAGAAAATAAAGGGTGAAAAAAAAAAAAAAAAAAAAAAAATTCATATTTCCTCGTGAAGAAACTGACATTCACTTTTTGCTTATTAAACCCATTTTTACTATGAATAAAGTAAATGGATAGTCTAATTAATTTTATAATGTACACCTAATAAGAGGGAAAAGAAATCCAATATGCAAATCCAATCCTGAGTAACAGAAGGGGGGTATCTTTATGGGCACAGTTGGCAGCACAGACTCTTTGTATAAATTATTTCCAGTTCAAAATCATTACAAAATGGGCATTGCAGAACAGCATCAAGTTGAAAATGCCTTTTTTTCCTTTTTTTTTTTTTTTTTTCCTTATAAAAAGATTAAATTTTAGAATTAATTTCAAAACTTTCCATACAAAATTTTTCATTACTAAAAATGTTTCCATTTGCATTTAATTTCTTCAGGGTTTCCCCATTTGTCAATATTCTAAAGGATCAATCTGAAGATTATATGCACTTCACTCACCTACACATGGTCTAAAATGTCAAAGGTCATTCATAAATGTCATCCTTATCTGCAATATATTGTACAATATCACGGGGCCGCAGTAGCCGGTCAGCATCTGCATCAGGAATTTCAAAACCTGTAAAAAGATTGAAGAAAGATACATATTAGAAGGGCAACTACAAACGTTAGAATCAGAAAGAGAAAAATACCTCCAACCCCGCTGAAAACATTGGTTTTAAGGAAGCAAGTAAAAAAATAAAAAAATCTTACTCTTCTTTACAAGAAATAAAGCAATTTTCAAAGTTTAATAATGGAGAGAAGGTGGAATATTAAGAATATGCAGACAACTTAACCAATTACCCCTTTGAATATATTCATTTCAACCTAACAAGCTCAAGTTAAAAAGAAAAAATAAAGTCAAGCACCCAACGACCTCCTCTCCCTACATTTACTGATGTTAATATATTCCACATCTAATCCAAGCAGGTGCAATCAGTGAAAGGAAGGAAAAAAAAAAAAAAAAAAAAAAGCCTTTACTCCCCATCCAACCTCAGTAAAAGTATCTATAGAAATTATCATGAATAAAGCCACTGGAATGTAATCCAAGTGCCCAGGTGATTCAAAGATACATCAACTTCAGCCAAGAAAACCAGTATTGAAATTCATACTAATATAGTTTAAATAAAAAAATAAAAGTAGCAGAGCAGAAAAATTGAGGAACTTAAAGAATTAAATATGAATTTTTTTAAGCAAAATATTTCCAATGGTAAAATTTAACTGAATGGAACAAAGAGTTAGCTCCCTTGTATTAAATGGCCGCATAATAAGAATGTCAGCAGAAATCTTAGTTTATCTAACTAATCATTGTAAGACAAGGCTCGCACTTGGAGAATTTGCATTAAGTCAAGACAAATTATTGCAACTAGCAATTGCAAAGGGTATATCAAGAGAAAAACTTTCGAAAATGCAAAAATCGGAGAAATTGGCTTTAGAAAGTAAATGAGTAGGTGAAAGATTTACATTATCAGAAGACAACAGAATATATTTTCAAGTAGTACTAATGAAACTGATGAAGGTTATTTAAACATTGATGTACTCCACGACATTACTTTTAAAAGGTTCATTTCTATTTTAAAATAGAAAGAGAAGGTCAAATTGTAATTATTGAAAAATCTCTAAATGCAAGGTTGAAACTTTGACCTCCACTTCATTTTTTACATCTTTAGTTATGGTGAAATACTAAAGGTTAAATTAATCTGAAGATTTTGTTTTATATTTATTAAAAATTCATCAAGCAAAGTTGTAATTATTTTATGAAAAGAATATAAGAGCAGGAATGCTGAAAACAGACTCAGAAAAAGGTTATTGTATGTTTCTGTTGAAGTCTATTTCTCTTTAAACTATCATTTCAGCCTCTACAAGTGCAACTGACTTATCTATTTGAAATCATGTTATTGTGTAGATTTGACAACAGAAATTTTATTTCAAATCAATGCTTAATAAAACTTGATAAGTAAAAAAAGTTGAATATAGAAGTTTTATTTGACTCCTCAACAAAGAAACAAAATGGCTTATTCCTTTCATTATTCATCCCTATTATTTCAGAAAATACACAGAACTTTAGAAGCAGCTTTTGGGTTTGTGGTCCTGATGAAAAGAATTGAATTTATAGCAGTGATCTTAAATATTCACAGTATAATAAATTCTTTCTTGTAATTACCAAATAAGTTTTGAGATTCAACAAGAATTTTTAAGAACTGGAATCAAATTGAAGATCTGATAATAAAAATTATTTTATAAGAAAAGTTCAAAAGCATGAGAGAAAGCAAAATAAAAAGGTGCTGATTTAATGAAGATAAAAAAGGCTGCAATACGAACCAAATTCATCCTCCATTGCCATGATAACCTCTACTGTGTCAAGGCTGTCCAAACCAAGGTCATTCAGAAAATGGGCATCCAGAGTTAACTTTAAAATAAATAAGCAACTTTGTTATGTTCAATAACAAAAACATTTACCTGATTGCTTTATTATACAAATTGAGGCAAATGTCACATAATATCAATATAAATTATTAAAAATTTAATTACAGGAAAATTTTATTTACTAGCTATTTAATTGTAATATGTGTTGTTCAAAACATATTTCAATTCTGTGCTTGCATGATTTATTAACATGTCAGAGTTAATTTTTTTTTTTTTTTTTTTTTTTTTTAAGTTACTCAGTATTTCAAATGGCCCCACAGAACAAAAAAAAGAAAAAAAAAAAAAGTCTGATGATCTTGGTGGCCACTCAAAAAGACCTCTTTGACCTATACATTGACCCCTATAAGTGTGTGACTTTTGCCTCACCTTGTATATGTAAAAAATCTCAAAAAATTTTGACAGAAAGACAAAATAAGGAAGGTTTTGGTAATTTTTGTGCTAATGAAAATCATACATTTAGCTTTTCTTACTCTAATGCCATTGATAACAAGTATCACTGAGGAAGCAAAGAGTTTTCTTTGCAGAGCCTGGAATTAAGTCTGAGAGTGAAGTCTATTTCCTACTACTCACTCTGGTGGTGGTGTTCAAACCCAGATAAAATATTTTTTTTAAGGTCAATCATCCAATTAAACAGGCCTTTTGCACTTGGAGTATTGTAATCCTCCTTTTGACTTTGTGTCATTCCAAGATTAAGTTTTGGAAATATCAAAACTGGCTCAATTCATATGCAAGACACCATTCAATATATTTACTGATCAAGTCATAATTATGCAATCTTGCAGAGTTCATAGCCATGGTAACAGATTTGAGATGTACTCATTTTGATAATCGGGACAATTGGATACAACTATGCAACTAAATTGATGTCTTTATAGAAAAATCATTATAATCAATTGCAAAACTCAAATATGGGGACCGGCAAGAACAGACGAACTGCAGATTATTTTTTTTTTTAAATTATGTAACTTTAATCAGCACAAATATGTAGGGTCGATATTGTCATCACAACTTGAAAACTAAATTAGAAATGATATAAATGATCCTTGTTAATCTCTTAGCATTGGGATTAAACAAAATTTTCAGACAATTACCAACTATACAAGTTTCTATATGAATACAACTTGTGTGTGTGTGTGTGTGTATATATATATATATATATATAAAAGGATTCTAACACAATATAGCAGTGATAGTGAAACATTCATCTGAATTCATAATTTCCAATACTATTTTGATCTTCCTCTAATATTTCAAGCTAACAAGAAGGAGGAAGCCATTTTCTATAAAGAACTGATAGAGATCAACTTTAAAATTTTCAGAAATATCTGTTGATACAAGTTACATAATTCATAAACTTGAAAACAAATTAATTTTCACAATTTATTTAATTATAGACACAAAGTGAGGATGAAAGTTGAATTAGAATCATGAAAAAAAGTAATTGAAGGAGAATTTTCAGTTGAACCCTCCTCTTGCCTGGAGATTTGAGTCTCATTCAATCAAGAGACAGCAATCAAATTCTCAAAATAGAAAAAACTATGACAAAGATACACAAGCAAAAAATATGTTTTCTTTAAATGAGATGAAACCAATCAAGCCTCATTTCTCTTATTGAAATGTTCTATTGAAGAAGGAATGTTAATAATGACCTTTAAATTTAGTGAAGAGAGAGATGGGGAAAAAAAAAACAACAGGATTAAATTCTAATCCATAGAAATTGATTATAGCAAGAGAAGAGTTGATCTCACAAATGGGAAATGAAGGGAAACACAAAGTACCTTGTTGGGATCAATTTTGTCATAGAGGTTGAGCACCAGCATAACTCTCTTTTCAACATTCTCTAGACTGAGTGTGGGTCTGTGGCCATAGGACCTCACAGAGTTAATCTGGGTTGTGAGTGATGTCTGCTAAAATGGCGGAGAAAGGAAAAAAATGGGTTAGAAAAAAAAAATGAAATACAAAGAAATAAAGCAAGTACCTTATCAGCAGATATTTTATCATATTCCTTGCAGACTCTGAGAACTCTATCTTCTATTTCTGCAGTCTGGGCTTGACTGGCCAGTAGCCGGATCTTGGGTTCCAACCCACAAAATGGCTGACAGAAACAAGAAGAAAGAGGAGATCTTAACAGATAAGCTGTTCAAGAATCAGCAACAAATGTTTTTCTATTCTTTAGAATAGAAATGCATCTTTTCAACTTTTAGTGTGTGGGTAGGGGAAGCAAAGGTAACACTTGTAGAAAAACTGAACAAGATAATGTAAAAAGTAGTGTAGCTGTGGCAGTCAGAGAACAAAAGCATCATTTGACTACAGAATGTTTGACAGCAACTGTGTTTTTCTTGACAGACAACAATAAGAGTATAAGTAACTCACCATGGTATAATGACAAGTAAATTGGACTTACAGATCATTAGTAGCAAGTTCAATGATCACCAGTTACCCAGTATTGGTGTCCTTGTGCCAGGACTAAGCAAAAATAGCAAAATGACAATACCAAGAATATATGAATTCCTGACAGATATCCAGAGTGGAAACTGCAGACACCCACAAATAACTACTAACAATTGATAAGGGTGGTAAACACCCAATAAAAAAAGATCATCAATTGTTGTCCCCATCTGCAGTAGACGCCAAACAAATTATTTCCTACCATTTATTATGATCTTGAGGAAGCTTATTTAGCATCTACTACTCATTAGTTGAGGGACCACAGAATTACGTTAATATGATTAATTATTAGGTTAGCAGCTGAAAAGGGCAGAATATTGCATGTGCTTTCACATGTATGTAGAATGTGGGGGAGAGAAGAAAATTACCCCACCTCTATTTTGGTTTTCCTCTAATTCTTTTTTCATGAAGGACACAATATATCAAGTGCCACACTAAATCTTTTAATGCATCCAAATAGTTTTAAGGATTTGCTACAGATGGTATTGACAAGTGGAGGCAAATAGGTTATGTTTCTAAGTGTGATTATTTTCACTGTCAGCTCATGTGATATGCATCTTATGATTTTGGAAGGTTTCAATTTGAACTGAATTTTTTAGAATCTAAACCAACTTGAAGGGTGTATATATGTTTTAGTGTGAGTGGATACAAAAGTTAACATGTTCAAGAGGAACACTGCATAAAAATCTCAACCCAGTTCAATTCTAGTGCTACTCATCAGTTGTACAAGTTATATTATACTCCATGGAATTGTGTACTTGTTGACTGACAAAGGTACCATTATTGAAATGATGGAATCAGTTACTGCAGCTTACCTGGTCCAGAGAACAATCATGGAAGACTGGCACATGCTGCCTGGTCAGATACATCATATTTCCAGTTCTTTTGTGCAGGTGCATTTTGTGGGAGTTCACAAGGAACATCCAATGTGAACAGTGGACATAAAACTGATACCAAGAACACTCAATTGATTTCTAGGTACATCATAAACTGCCAGACTTAAACCCCACTGATCCCTGATAGGGCATGTAGACCTCACTAAATTACCTGCTGCCACACCCAAGTTATGGAGAGTTATTTAACATGTCTGGATAGATATACCCATCCAATGACACTAGCACCTTGCAAACTATTTCATGTAACCGCCATTATTCAGGCAAAGAGAGGAGCTATGTGTTATCAGACTGGTGTGTCTGATTTTGAGTAGGAGGCTTCATGCACAAGACAAAAACAAGTTACATAATTTCATAGAGAAGTAACTTTGTAAACCACATTGAAATCATCATGTACTAAAAACAATAAATTCACAATTCCAATTGAAATTATTTTCTTGGTCAGAGACTTTATAAAGCAAATGGACAATTTGATTTCCCCTCCCCAGCAAAATCAGTTAAGTTTCTACACTGATGAAAACAAATGTGCAACATCTTGAAGGACAATGCCAATTTGGGCACAAATGCATGGGAGATGATAGTAGATAATCTGATAAAATTTTCAAATTTTTTAGCCATCTTGCAATGTCCATGAGCTTTAGACAGTGATGCAAGCAACAACAACAAAAATAAATAAATAAATAACATCAGTGTCATGCCAGGGAGACACAAGCTTTCTACTTTTGTTCACTTAATGCCATTTGAGTAGATTTGGATTTTGGCCTGCTGTAGGGTCATTTCAGAGGTGCTTCAATGCTGGCAACAATATAAAACCCGTAGATTCAAGTTCTGGGCAGTCATGTAATACAGATGCTCACAGATTGACACATGGTAAAAACAATACAGAACATCTGGCATTGTTCACAAACTTACAGCAGAACAATGGACACACTTGCCTCTAGCCAGATTTTCTCCAAATGCCACAACATGGCCACGTGGGAAATCAAATGACAATCTGTAGTATTCAATGTTGAGAGCAGGTTCTTCCTTTATAATAGTTATAGTCATTTGAATGTGTCACAGACCCTGGGATTTTGGTGCCTGGTACCATAACTCTCACTCATCTTCGTGTCTATGGAAGGAACATTAAACAGCAACATGTACATCCAGCACAATGTTCAAGCCATTCTATTACTATTCCTGCAACAGGAGAAGCAATGATGATCAAGTGATTTGTTTGTTTAATGGCATATCAACTTATTATAGGTCATTTAATGCCAAAATTTAATTTTCTTGAGAGCTTGGAAGTAATAAAGACATATTCTGCTTTCATAATTGAATACATGGTAGATGATACTCAGCTTTTGTGCATAGACATTCGTGTGGACATAATTACTAGAGGCAGTGATAAGCATTTTATGTTGTGGGTTTGTAGAAGTTATATTTTGGAATACAGTTTAAGAATTTGTAGGATATTATATAGTTTAAGGTTATGAAAGTTCCTTTATGTTGCCGGTTTGGTAGTATTTTAAATGCATTTGGGTGAAGATGCTACAATGTGCATATTGTGGATAATTTATATAAAAATGTATTGCTGGTATTTTTACTATAAAAATATTTTTATACTTTCATCATTTTGTTTTTGCTGGGGGGGGGGGGTCACAGCTGGGACCACTAACAGGTGCCACCACCCCAGGTTAGGGTGGACTTGGGAACAATGGCAATTAAGAGGTGGCTTTAAATTCCTCAAAACCTCCAATCTCCCGATGAGAGGCCTTGTTGCTGGATGTAGTTTTTTTATCATCATCATCAGAAGCAGCAATGTAATATTCAAGCAGCACAATGTCCTCACTACTCAACATGTTCTAAAAGATATTCAACAACTTTCCTGACCAGTATGATCCTCAGACTCTAATATATATAGGACAATACTTGAATATTTCAATTGGCATACACAGAATTCTTCTGGTATTGCATCAACAGATGCAAGAAAGGCAGAAGAATGCCTTGTAGAATGGTATTTGCCATCCATACAATTGTATGTATGTGAGAGGATATACTCTATATGTGTGTGTGTGTGTGTGTGTGTGTGTGTGTGTGTGTGTGTGTGTGGGGGAATTAGCGTACAATTAGTACACTTTACAGTTTTTTTTTTTTCTTAACTTGTACACATTAATTTGTTATGTGATCCAATTATATTAACTGTACATAACTAAAGAATTTTGTTTATGTCATCTACTAGTCTGCATACTTGAGAAAACTTAAAAGATGTGCTGCCTGACAGAATTCAAACCTGTGTATCACATGTGCAGGAGAAACTACCTGCTTTTCTCCTGCAAAGTGTGTAAGTGTAAGTGTTTGTTGCGGTACATTTTGATCATACTAGAGCAGGGATTCCCAAACCCATGCTCACAACCCTATTAAGAGTCGCAAGGTTTTTTTTCCGAGGGTTGCAGATGGTCTCATAAAAATGTGTAATTTACGATATGTTATTATCATACAGAGAGTCAAAAGTTAACCCTATGAAGTAAAATTTAGATTAATACAAAAACGTTTGTACACAGGTAGGCTTGATGCATTTTTATTACCTTAATTAAATATTAAATGTATGAATTTCAAACCAGTAAGATTCGTTTCCCCATGAATACAAGTAAGTTTTCTGTGATCCAATTCTTATCTATCCGGGGCTATAAAACACAGACAATTTCCAAAATGTCCAGAGCTTTAAACTCATGTATTTTTCATAAAATATGTAAAGAAATGGGATCACATCACCAGGATTTGCTGTTCCACCCTGATATCCATTGGCTATCTTGAGGAAAGATTCTTGCAAGAGTTATTGAACTAAAAATTGAAATAGGGCAAAAATTTCCAATATAAATGTTTGATTGTAAAATATCATGAAACATTTTATATAAGTCCTGTAAGGAAAAAAAAAAGAAAATCAGGTTATTTGATTTCTGGTGGATTTTCAAAAAAATACTGGTGATTCAATCATAACAAAAATTTCAAATTAAAAATTTGCTATTTTTTTAAACTGTAAAACAAATAATTTTCACATGAGATTGTTTTTCTAATATTTCCTCATATCAAAAATTATACTGAGTTTCATTTATAGTTTTGAGGTTATGCTAAATTTTAATTCATGTTGTTTTGGGGTGGGGGTTAAAAAAAAATAACAGTCAAAAAATTTTGACATCTAACATACACTTATCCAGGGTTGCTGCACCAAGCAAAATTTGTATTTAAGGTCATGATCAAAAAAGTTTGGGAACCACTATACTGGAGGGAACTTTTTTTTTTTATTGTTATTATTATGCTTTCTTGAATATGCAAACCAGAAACAAAGAAGAAAAAAAAATTGAAGTAATAAAGTTAACTGTACATTCAATCTGGAATAAATTGAATCTTTTCAGTGCTGCAATTTTATTTTCCATCAGTATTTTTTTTTTTAAACCAATTTTATCAGATGCTTAACTTTCCATAGACTGACCAAAGTCCATCATGGAGCACCCAGGAAAATTCAACTTCTAACATTAGCAAATTGGTTTCCGAGACAAGCTTGATAAGCACAACACTATGGTTAGGCACCCAAAGAGATTATAAATTATGCAGCAGTTCACATGAAATAAATAGACTAAGAGAAAATAACTATACTCATTGAATATTTTTAATAAATTAAAAAATTTGGTTCAAATTTCAGTTGAAGATGTTTCCCACTTTAAATACATTAGAGAAAGAAGGACCCCATATCCCCAAATACCATATTTGAAATAGTGATAAAACCCCTTAAAACAACCTATACTTTCAAATCAAAATGACAATATGTTTTTTGAATTCCTTAATATTATTAAGTCTTTGCAAGTTTTTAATATATTTTTCCAATTACATTAACATATAATCACTGGAAAGCAAGACAAACTTTAAAGTTGTAAAAGCTTGGAAGAATAATTCACAAACAATAGGAGTTGAAATTGATCTGACAACTTCTTAAAACAAAGAAAGCAGGGAACACTGTATTTCAGCATCAAAGATGATCTAGTTATCGACATTTTCAGTACCAGTGAATAACAATGAATACTCTTTTTACACTATTTACAGTGTTCAGACTGTTGTACTCATCTTTATTGTAGTATTTGTGACATGGTCACATGGCCCACTGGATTTGTTATGTACTGGCTGAAGTAATCCAAAAAAGTGATTTGACCCAAAGAGTTGAGAGTCCAATACCTGACTATAGCAGAGGTGAATGGAGTTAAGTTACTAGAGGGAAATAACTGAAACAGATATCCAGAAAAGGCTTGGCATGTGGAACTAGAACAATTTACCCCAGTGTACTAAAAAGGTTGGGTTTGAAATTTCAATGTATATCACTTGGAGAAGGTGAGAGCATACAATGATTGAAATGTCATGAATATGACAAAGATAAGAATAACAGTCCAAATGATGTAAAATAGTTATAATATCTCATCTCAGAAATATAGACAGATATCAAATGAATACTCTCTACATAAGATTCACTTGCTATAAGTCAATCAAAACTTAAAGTGATTTATACAGAGCACTCTGAACATAATTCCTCATATTCTTTTGTGAGCAATAGACAAGAGTATCTTCCATGGATTGGTAGCTGTGCAGGGATGTCCAGAATGTCAATGACAAACACATCACTGTTGCTAAAATGCATTACCCACTGTCTAACTCTGCTCACATCCACTTTTCAATCAGTAAATATTCAGCATATTGATGAATGTCAATAGGTGTATATTTTTCCCAACATGCCTCTGTGTCATATGCAATTTTGTGTCAAACATTTTGTCACGCTGTGGTAAGGAGAAATTAGGTCATTGGCAACCTCTATTGCCAAACCATAAACATTTGCTAACATTATCAAAGCCATTACTCTTAGATCAATCCTAATGTGTGACATAACATAATAAGCGGTATAACCAATAAAAGGCATATTTTGTGAGCATTTAAAAATGATAGTGTAAATTTATTGTATATTCCCAATCTTGTTAATGTAAAATAGTGAAAATATTTACAATAGTAAAATTTAGTGACATTGTGAGGAAGAGTTTACAATTTGGTAAGACAAATGTGTACAATTATGAAAAACCACATCTTAACAACATGCATGTACCTTTTACACATGAATCAAGAATATTTAAAAATTTCCTTAGTATTTAAAATTCTGCAAAAGAAATTACAAGAAATAATAAATAAAATAAAGTAGTAATGCGTAGCAATATTTCCAAATGGAGGAGGCTGATGCCTATTTGTTTTGTTTTTATTCCATTACCATGATTTTGGTATATGCAATGTGATGGAATGGATAATGGTTCAGAATGAGACATTAGTGGGTTTTGTTCAATTTCCAGTCAGGTTTGTTACATTCACTTACATGCAAATACCTTTGGGAAATGGCATGAATCTTCTCCACTCTTGAATAGCACGACAGACTGGGTCCCATAGCCTTGATTGGCAATTTGTCTAATGCAGAAAGAAATGCCAACCTACTGTTAGAAAACCTTCTGCCTAGTCAGTCATGAATCAAAAGAGACATGACTAACCCAAACCATATGACACTTAACTATGATTTTAGCTTCTCTGTTCATTATTTTAAATGAAGTTTCATAAGTTGCACGTTATATTTCCAGTTATATAACACGTGGGGAATACATCTATGACTGATAAAATCTTCACACACACAGCCAAAGTGCCCTAATTATTAAGAGCAGTTAAGGTATGAAACTAGTCAAGCAAAGGAACATTTCTCCAAAACTGAAAAGTTGTGTTCCATTTTAAATGCTTCATTGAGAAAGAAAAAACAAACCTCTTTAAAAGGTTTACACGGAAAGAAGTTAAAGCAAATTTGTATGAATAGTTTCCAGCTTTTAACTACTAAAAGTCTAAAATGTACAAAGGGATACACTTTAGTTTACTCGTAAATTTCCAATAATATTAGAAAAAAATGAATCTGCATACCTAAAGAAAGACTAAGGAATCTATATATATATATATATATATAAAAAAAAAAAAAAATTAAATAAATAAAATAAATAAATATATATATATATATTTTATTTATTTAAATTTTTTATCTCCCATTCCTCTTTGCCTGACGTTTTTATTTCGGTATTTTTCACCCCCTTTGTGGAGAAAAGACAATATAAAAAAAAAAAAAAAAAAAAAAATTGTTTTTGAAAAATGTGTTACTTTCCAAACCACAATTAGGCATGACCAACTTAGGCAGAATATTTTCCGGCAGTAGGTTTTCATTTCTTTCTGTAGTAGACCGGTTGGATTCATACCTTTGGTTTGCTAATGGTAGCACGTAAGTGAATGTTATGAATTCGACTGAAATTTAAACTCGGCTCTCCAATTCCTCAGTCCGTAGGCTGTCAATAAATCACTCAACAAAAAAAAAAAAAAAAAAAATCTGCCTCCGTGTTAAAAAATGCTTTTCTGCGATTCGTTTCAATTCAGATAAACTTTTAATTAATTTTCCACAAATAATATTTCAGGGAAAAAAAAAAAAAAAAAAGGATTTTTTTTAACGGAGAATTTGTGTTGACAGATCTGTTGTCACTATTATTGACGAATTTACTGACAAAGAGATTTGAAATACACGCGCACAAAAGAAAGTATTTTGATTATTAGGAATATTAAACATCAGCTTGGAATTAAAATGAAAATTTCAACTTCATAGATGTTTTTGGTGGGACCTTTTGACACTAGGGGATAGAATCATGAACTAAATAAAATCAGTAATAAATTTACTAGTACTTGTAAATCTTATATAACATTATTACTTGTAATAATTAAAATTACTGACATAACAAAAAGGACCCTTTCTCTTTAAGAACACAATACCATTTTCTGGGGAAAAAAAGTTCTGTAAATTAAATTAAAAAAAAATACGTCTAAAAACCTCTTATTTTCGTAATTCTTATCACGAGTTTTTACCATTACTTTCGTAGAAAATGAAATGGATTGTGGTTATATAGTTGTATTTTGAGGAGAGAGAAAAAAATGATTTAAAAAGACTCACTCATGAAAAATAAAGACGCGATTACATAATTGAGAAATAAAAGGTTTTTCAAAATCCCTGAAACACGCTGAAGATCAAATGTTTAAATGTTTTAAAAAGATTTAAAAAATAAAATTAAAAAAAAATAAAAAATAAACTCAAGACAAAAGAAAATGAGAAATTATTAAAAAAGGAAATATTTTTAGTTATGTTTTTTAAAATAAATAACTTAACTGAGAATCATTTTGTAGTATGACCTTGGCCTGATCATTAGTATTTCTTAAAATTTAGGAAATAGGAAGTTATTTCAATAAAAATATAAACACTGAAATTATGTAATTCTGAAAACAAATAGTAAATTCGTTATTTTTAAACAAGTAATTAAATTAAATCGAAGGTTAAGAAAAATAAAAATTCAATTCAGGTAAAGGAAAAAAAATAGTTTCTTTCTTCTCTTTAAATGTCAATATACTGACAAGATTAAAACTTAAAATAATTATCATGTATATTAGAGAGAATATTTAATTACTAATAAAACCATGGATATTTTTATCGTGAGTTTATAATTTTTAACTAAAAACACAACAAAATAAGTTTTTTAATAATTAATATCACTATGAATGAAGATTGAAGCGAAACAAAAATCAGTTCACATTTAAAGTGTTTTTCATAATAAATAAGATTGTTAAAGCAGAATTGAAAAAGTTATAGAAACGTCTCAAATAGATAGACATTATTTTTAAATTCTATCATAAAGAAAATTAACAAATATTTATTTGAAGAATAAGAAAAAGTGTTGAGGGTCACCTCCAGCAAAAGACATGTGCTGTAGTCGTACTAATAAGGTCGCTTAGAAAGTAATAAATGTCGTTTAAGATATATTTACCCGTGTGGTCGAAGGGGCCGACAGCAAAGCTGGACTGTTATGTGGTTGGTGGTATCCGAATGCAGCATTATTACAGCCGGCTCTGACCATCAAAGATCGACATAAATGCAAACGAAAACCGGCAGAGGAGCAAAGAAATTTTGCACTCCTAACAGCAACAGACGCCATAATTGCCGATAGACTCGCGCAAAATCTATTTACCAGAATGCATCACGATGAATATATGTACTTCCGGTTTTCCTGAGGCCGCTTACGAACACATACAATATGTGACAAACACATGCATTTTTTTTATCTTTCTTATTTATTTTAAATAATTAATCAATTAAAAAAAATAACCAGTATATTTCTCCTGAAATATATTTTTCTTCGACCTTTATTTTCTGATCCATAGTGAAAAATTTAAAATAAATGCAAGCCACTGGTAAAAAAAAAACAAGTCTGGCACTTTTTAAAAATTGAAGCGGTTCCGAGATAAATGTGGTGACTTATTCACTGACGCAATTTCCAGACATAAAAAGTTGTTAGAATTTACTTAGAAAAAATATTTTAAACATAATATAAAATAAAATATAAACTGGAACACTAGTCAATGATTTGGGTTTTTTGTCCAGCAATAAAATAGTTTTTTTTTGTCAATACCTACCTTTAATTAGCTTAATTTTCTCGACATCTTTCTTGCAAGCAACAGTTGACAATTTTTAGTAATACAATTGTGAAATATAGCATTCTAACTACGGTTACCAACACCCTCAGATGAAAATGCTTGACGGGAGGTAGGAGCTTCCAAAGCAGAGTGCACGGATTTGTTATGCGTGTTCTTTAACGCATATACCTTTTGTTACTTTGTATTATTAATGATTCAAGAAAACAACAAAACTCCAAATGTGAATCAATAAGTATATATTGAAATAACATACAAGAACAAACATGCAATGAAATGAATAGATTAAGGGAAAAGAAGTTGCTTCCCTTTTACTGTATTTTGATTTGTAGTTGATTGTTCGAAAGAAAGTTCTCTTGAGAGAGAAATGTCCAGGAATCAATGTTAGAACAAGTCTGCTGTTAGAATAGATAACACAAGAATAAAATTGATCAGAAAGTGTGTTGTGTTAGAGAAATCAACAGAGTCTTGGTTGATTGAACTTAGCTGAGTCACAGAAAGATATGTATGTATTACAAAATTCTGTGTCTGTGTGCGTTTGAAATGTTGTGAGTAAAGTCATAGGTTTGTGTTGACAGGCGAAATTTAGTGGACTCTACTGGCAGCTTGTGAAAAGATCACACTCTTTTAAAGCTAGCTAGGCTCCCCAGCAAGACTAGGAAAATTGATTATGCA